ATATTGGGAAGAAATTGTCTGCTGTGGAGGTGGGGAGGCCCTGGCGCAGGTTGCCCAGAGAAGCTGTAGCTGCCCCTGGATCCCTGGAAGTGTCCAAGGCCAGGTTGGATGGGGTTTGGAGCAACCTGGGCTGGTGGAAGGTGTCCCTGCCCATGGCAGGGGGTTGGAATGACATGACCTTTAAGGTCCCTTCCAACCCAACATTTCCATGATTCTGTGATTCTATGGCAAGTGTTGGGGTCTCTGATATCCCCTCTGGAAACTCTTTTCAGTGTCGCACTGGAGATCACTGTCGGTGCCAGGGAAGCAGCTCCTGGGGCTTTGCAAAGCTGCTGGTGCAGCCCTGCTCCTGTTCCAGCGGCTGGGAAGCACAGGCTCCTTCTCCCCAGGGAGGGTTGGGTCATCCCCAGTGTAAGTAAGAAATTCTCTACTTACCTCTAAGTAAGAAATCTCAGACAAGTTTTGGGTTTTTTTCTTCGTAGGCCACTTTTTCAGTGACAAATCGTTCAGGGGAGGAAGCACTGACCAAATAAATCCACCACAACCTGAGTAGCTGCAGTGAGTGGAGATGAGCCTGAACGTGCTTGGCAATCCTCTCAGTGTGAGCTGACCTTTGCAGGATGTCATTTTTTGCTAAATATAAATCTAAATATGTTGGCCCAGATCGTGGGGGGGAGCTGGTTTGTGAATCTCTCCTTCTTCTGCATAAGGACGGGGTGGGGGCATCACAGCCCTGCTGGGGTTATTCCCCTTTCTCTCAGATCACTGGCACTACAAAGTGACAGAGAAGGGGTGAGGAGATGAATCTCTATTCTGCAGGGGAGTGTCATGGTTTGTTTGCCAGATCCTCCCGCAAGGAAAGTTCTGGTAGCTCAGCCTGTCCTCTGACCTCACCAGCCATGGAGACCACGCGTGGAAAGCTCTTCAAAGATGCCCTTACACTTCTCTACCCTCCTGAGACCCCTTTTCTATAAGTAAGAAAGTTATCCAAGCTTGGATAATTAAATTAACTTGTAAAGACATGTACATATTTGGAGAGCACAATTCTTTTTTCATTTATTTCCCCGTAAACTTCTAAAAATTAAAGATAAGAGTTTGTATCATAGGAATGTCACAGAGATAATGCAGAATTTTGCTGATTCTTAATCTGCATTTCTCTGACACATTGCATTTTAACACAACACAGGTGTTCTCTGTCACATGGGGAAAATAGTAGCACAGTGAAGAGGAAAAAATGTGTTTCATACACTTATTTATGAACTTACATCTGCTTTCATCAGAGTCAGTGGCTGGCAAAAGTCCAATCACCTTCAGTAGGAGTGGGTGATAAATTTAACCATCAAATCAGCTCAATTTTGAGTAACCCTGCATAAAGGTGAAGCTTCCAGGTCCAAGGCCCTGTGGGGAAATACTTTCTCAGCAGGCATTTATCAGCAATCAGAGCTGAGTCAGCTCAGGCCTGGACTGTTCTTGGGTACCACAATTCTCTGAAGTCTTCCCTCTTTTTTAGTTCCTAATTTTTTTTTGGTGTAAATTCCAGGTGTAACGCAGTATATTTATTTACAAAGGGTAAAAATAACACGCAGCTGCAAAGAAAAATCATCTTGGGTTTCACTTTCAGACCCGGAGCTGAGGATGAATCCCTGCAAAGCTGCACCTTTTACGCTGGGCACGCTTTCCAAAAGATGCTTTTCCAGCCTGGTGGCTCAGAAATAAAGCAGACTCACAGAAAGTCCTGGAAAAAAAAAAAAAACCTTTGCAGACAATCACTCTCTTGTTGTTGTGGGCTTTAGGAATACCATATTCTGGTGTCTGTTTGCGTTTTCAGTTTTGCTTTCTGCGCTGTGGAAGTCCGTTCCAGGCAGCTGAATTAAGCCCTGGCTCGGTGGTTTTGAGCCCACACTCAATTTGAAGTATCTGAGTAGTCCTGTTAGTCCCGTGGAGCTGCTTAAACGCTCAAAGTTAAGCTTGGTCTTTGGAGATTTGATGAATGGGAGCTTTGCTTGTCCACCCAGTGAGCTCACGGGACAAAACTCTCGACCATCTGCTTCTGGATCTCGTATGAAAAGTTATGGCTTATTTATGATCCTCTCCCTCACCCTTGTGTGTTTATATTATGATCAGAAGACCATCCCAGAAGCCCTGTCAGGTTGCCAGAAGTTGTGTGCTACTGGATCTTTCACATCATTTGCTGTTCAGTGTTTACAGGAGGGTTTCTCACGCACAGTTGCCCACAGAAGTGGTGTGGGCTGTGCTGGTGGGAGGTTTCGCATCAGCAGCAAGATTTTGGGGTCCCTGTACCCCAAGTTCCCTTTCCCATAAAAGCAAAACAAGAAACAACACAACCAACAAAAAAACCATGCCAGTTAGACTCCAAAACATCCCCAAAATGTCCCAAAAAGTCAGTGAATGGGCCAAGTAGTTCTATGTAACATAATTGCTTTGGGGAGTAGTCAGGGTGCACATCTGCACAGGTCCAAGGGCAGGAGGAGGAGGAGGATGTTTCCAAATACACATGATTTAGTGGGCAGGCTCACTTATGCATACATGCCATTTGTGTTTATTAAAGTAAACAGAAAAATCCAACCTTTTTAGGCCCCAAGGAATCGTCACAAAAGCTCCTTTTTCAACGTTTATGTCCAAAAGAAAACGTTGCTTTGTTTTGCTCAGCTCTGCTTAGACAGAAATAGCTGCAACCCAGGATTATAAACTAGTGGTGTGTAGTAGAAGAGCAAAATTAAATCTGGGAGAGTAGTACCCAAGTGCTCTGGTTGTGAGAGGAAAGGCTGAATTCCCCACCTCTCAAGGGCAGGTGCTGTGACTGTATCTTCCTTGTGGTTGTTATTCAGTCCTGTGGCTGACAAAGCAGTTTTAGGGCCTTTAAACAAGGCACATTTCATATGGAATACGAATATCTTTTATTTTTAAACTGAAAGCCATCAGCATTTAAACTTTCTTTAATATATACATTAACAGGGTAAAATTAGTGGAAACACTGCATAGAAAAAACCTAATCTGTATAAAATGTATTTTCAATATCTAAGATTTATTCTAAGTCTTCTCAGCTTTCCAAGTACTGGTTTCTTTTTTTAAAGCACATTAGGTAAGTAAGAACAATAATAAAGTAAGAATTATAATAACATTAATTCCTGAGCCATGGTAGTGCTGAGCAGTCAACTGAGTCACTTGGGAATGGGATAAAATACCTTCCACATCCTTTTGTTACATGTTGGGCAGACATTGGTCCAAACTACACATTATTTTCCCTCTCCTGTCCTCAAACATCAGCAAAGTTGTTTTGGGAAGATACCCATATTCTGACCACTGGTGGGCTCACGGTGATGTTGCTGCCCAACACTTCCAAGGATTTCCCATGGAATTTCCAAGCTGGGGAGAGCAAGAGGATCTGGGTTAAGCACATTTTGAGGGTCAGATCCTGAAAAACATGTCAGGGCTTTGGGTCTTGGAGGGTCTCTTGGTTCTCTGAGACTGAAAATTAATTAGAAGCAAATGAAGCATCACAAGCTGACTTAGAGTTCAGAGGAGGCCACTGAATTAATCCCAGGACTGGAGCACCTCTGCTATGGAGACAGGGCGAGAGATTTGGGATTGTTCAGTCTGGAGAAGGCTCCTTGGAGCACCTTCCAGTGCCTGAAGGGGCTACAAGAAACTTGAAAAGGGACCTTTTTTAAAGGACCTGGAGTGACAGGATAAGGGGGAATGACCTTGAGCTGTTGGAGGGCAGGGTTGGATTAGATATTAGGAAGAAATTGTTCCCTGTGAGGGTGGGCAGGCCCTGGCCCAGGTTGCCCAGAGAAGCTGTGGCTGCCCCTGGGTCCCTGGAAGTGTCCAAGGCCACGTTGGACGGGGCTTGGAGCAACCTGGGCTGGTGGAAGGTGTCCCTGCCCATGGCAGGGGGTGGCACTGGATGACCTTTAAGGTCCCTTCCAACCCAAACCATTCCCTGATTCTAGGATTCTCTTACTCTATGACTTTCTACTTGTTTAGTAAGCCCATGGCAGAGTTTCAGGAGTTAAATGGTAGGACTGAAAGAGAGCTTGTTAGTAATGAAGTACCACTAAAAAACCCCAAACCCAGCTCACACCCTCCTTCCCTTGCCAAGCAGCCCCTTTACATTTCAATGTATTCCCCATGGCTGTGTTCTTTGTTTTGATTCTCGTAGCAATTTTTTCTCTCTCTGATGAAACACGTTGTAGACATTAAATTAAGGGACAAATATGTCTGTGTCTGCCAGAAGGAAAACTGTGATGCAATTAAAATGCCATTAGGGGAACCCCCTGTGGGACGGTAAACCTGAAGGCTCCATTCAGAAGGCAAAGCCAAAATTAAAGAGGTGTCTGGTTGCAGATCCTCTGCAGATTTCCATTCCTTGACTGCAGTGCCACGGAGACTGTGCTAGTCAGGAGCTGAAGGGTTTTTTTCGTCGTGTGTGTGTGTGGTATTTGGAATGGTGGCTTTGGCAAGTGCTCCTTTTCTGGGAGCCACACGTGGAGAGGTGTAACATTGCATGACACGAAGCAACGGACGATGGCAGCGGAGATGGGAAGCTGTCCAAGCCTTGGACTGCTTGGACAGTGGCGACTAACAATAGTTCTCCCTCAGAAAATTCACAGTAGTAGCTGCAGCTCTGCGTTCGCTGAGTTGCCTGGGAGGTGTTTGGAGAGAAGAAATGCAGCCACCAGGCCGAGCAAGCTCATGGACAAGCCTCCGTTCTGGGTTGGTCTCCGGAAGTAAATCATTAGTGTTTTTTGGTTTTGGAGACATGTAAGAGCCTGATCTTTTGATAATAAAAATAAATGTATGGTCCATTGAATGAAGGGATCAGCAGAGTCACTGGGTGGCAGATACTGAGTTTACCAGTGACAGCTCTATCTCAGTGCTCAAGTCCTATTTTTCCATTGCATTCAAAGTGATTCCTTGCTAAAAGCATTAACAGGAACTAAAATACTAATAGAAGCACACCTTTCTTCTCTGTCTAGGAATTCTCCTGACGACTGCAGCGTGGCAAAAGGAGGGAAGATGGTCAGCAGCTCAGACAGTGTTGGGATGAACTATGGAAACTACATGGAAGAGAAGCACGTTCCACCCCCAAACATGACCACCAATGAACGAAGAGTCATCGTGCCAGCAGGTTAGACCCTTTTACTTGAAAATTTCAGGCTGAAAAAGTTGCATTTCCCTCAAATTTGCTAAGATTATTTACGGAGATTTGGACAAAAGTGGCAATCAGGAAGAAAGGAGCAGTAATTTCCCAGGGTTACTGAGAGAACGAGAGGGAAATAGCAAAGCCACCTCCTCAACCTGTTCTCATTTCAGCAGCAGGACCAGCTGATGACAGGCACTCAGATCTTATCTGACTTCTCTAGCTTCTTTTGGAGGATTTCACCCTAAAGTGGGCAAAAGAAAGAACCACTTGCATTTCCTGGAACATGGACTGGCTGGGTGCAGAGTGTGTGGGAGAAAGGATCACCGTAGCACATGAAATCCAAATACCAAGCCACCCTCAGCACATAAAAACCCCATAATCTAGCAGGGCATCCTAAGCCTTTATCTGGGTTATCCCCTGAGTCTGGGCAGTGTAAAACATTTTAATAAGCAAACTGACAAGTCCACTGCAATGTAAGAGCCCAGTTGAGAAATTCCTGGTTAGCCTTGGCAGGCTTGGCTGTGAGGGGAACATTCCCTTCTTGCCCTCCAAACACACCTCTGCTGGAAGATTGGTTTGCAAAATAATTAGCAGACCTGTTTCTAAAATCAGAGGCCACCATGGCTTATGTGGGTGTCAATAAACCACGGGATACATGCAGGATAAACACATCACCTGCAAGCAGGAGGGAATGTTTTGCTGCTGGTTCCTCCCCAGCAGAGATGTGCCTATCTGAAATATTTCTGCCTCTTCTCTGTTGCTTAATATTCTTACAGTTTTTCAGTTGCTAAGATATGCAAGAGTACTGACTGTGGCCAATTTTGCAAGCTAGGATTATTTCAGTTATTTGTCAAGATAGGTGTGGACAAATCTGTTGCAGTGTCCTCTGCAATGGTGTTGTCAATTCTGTCCTGAAGACAGAACAGTGATGCACTGAATAATGAGTGTCCTGCCAACTGGAAGGAGACCACATTGAAATACATGACATTTAAATATCCTTCTAAAATATTTGTCTTCCTGGTGTTTGGCACTTTTTTGGTCTTTTAGTAACCCTCAGCTCAGCAAGGTATTTTTTTCTTAGTGTGTTCCTGGAGGTGTGTTTCCAGGTGGATTTGAGTGACATTCGAGGAATGTCACAGTCACTGTGTAGAGATCACTGGAAGAAATTAATGGGTAAAAATCAGCATTCCCTCTTTCAGACTAACCTGAGCTGTCAGAAGAGAGGGAATAGCACTGAATTTAAGCCATAGAAAAGCTATTAAAGTTGTCATCCAAGTCCCAGCCCTTCTACAGACATTCATGTCATGCACAGCAGCCAGTTGACCACCACGTGCTCCATTCTCAGTCTTTGGGATATCACAGAATCACAGAGTCCTTTAGGTGGGAGGGCAGAAACTCTTGAAGGATTTGTTTCCCCTTGGCCTTAATACTTTTCCCTCCATAAAGTATATCTTGTTCGTGGTAGGAGCTGTCTCCTGTTGTGGGGATGTGCACTGAAGGCCCTGAGGGATCTTCATGACGTCGGGTCCTTACTCAAGGAAAGTAAAGTGGAAGAGAAATGGAAAAGGAGGAGTTCAGAAGGGAAGAAAAAGTTAAAATTAAGGATTAGTTCAAAACCATTTTGCTGCAAATCTGGACTAGCTCTTGGGATTTTTTTTTCCCCCAGATGGTTTTGCAAATGCTGCAGGTATTAGGTAAAAACCCAGGCAGGTGTAGCAATGTACTCCAGTGCAACACAGCATTTAGGAGAGAAAATGTGGAATGTTTTAATATTACCCACTCTAGTTTATGAAATAACTGGTCAAACCTGTGAGTGCTTACTTAGCCTACACTCAAGAAAGAGTAGATCTGACTTGAGTGGAAATTGCACTTGAATAAAGACACAGATTCAACAGAGAGCTTTGAAAGTTGTTCAGCCACGAGTTGCAGAGCTGTTGGTGGGTCAGAAACCTCTGTTAACCTGTGGATAAAACTTATTAAACAGAAGAACTAAATGAGAGAAGGAGCTCATTGAGCAGCAGAGGGTTTGTTAACGCTCAGCTCACAGCTCTTCCCTAACAGTTTTCCACAGTTATTCTCCCTTGAGACTGGAACAGGCAGCGAAGGAGTTATGGCCTCCTGGGTGTGGACATCTTGTTGTTCCAGAACAATCTGTTAATCAGTGGACAAAACTAATGGCACAGAAGCAGTAAATGAGAGAATGACCTCAGGGATTGTTGTTAACACTCAGAGCTCACAGCTCTTCCCTTACAGTTTTCCACAGTTGTTCTCTCTTGCGCTCAACGTGCCAAATTAATTCCTCAAGTCAATAAACATGGTTTTAAGGTGCCTCCAGTTTGACTGTGCCTGCATCTATTTTGCACTGGTCCAGTGCATCAACATTCTCGCTTCTCTGCCTAATTTTGTGGTTTGTGCCACCCCCAGACCCCACATTATGGAGCACGGACCACGTGCGCCAGTGGCTGGAGTGGGCGGTGAAGGAGTACGGGCTCCCGGACGTGGACATCCTGCTGTTCCAGAACATCGATGGGAAGGAGCTCTGCAAAATGACCAAAGATGACTTCCAGAGGCTCACCCCAAGCTACAACGCAGACATCCTCCTGTCACACCTACACTACCTCAGAGAGAGTAAGCCCCATTCTCCGTCATCGCGGTAGAGCCTGTGGTCGGTTCGTGGCTGACACCAGCCTTAGATTTCGTGGTGTGGATGAGTGTGTGGATCACTTAACTGGGTTTGCAAATGTTGCTGTTCCTGAGAGCACAGTGGGGAAACCTGATCCAAAGCCTTTTGGGTTCGATGGAAAGATTACCATTAATTTCAGTTGGCTATCGCTCACGTCCATCGAAGGGAAGAGTCAGGGAATCTTTCTGCATATCCATCTCGGAGGAAAATCAAGCTGAAGTTCAGCGTATTCATCAGCATAATGTAGGAAGAAAACCACGTGGGATTCAGTGCTAATGTTTTTTCTGGTCACATACTCATTTCTTTCACATTTTAATGATGAGGATGCTAAACAAGAGCACAAACATTGATTCATAGAGCGAATTCCAGGCATGATTCGAAGGACTGGCAGCAGTTTGCTGCACTCTGAATAGGATCAGGGAGATTTAACTGAATTGAATTAAAATTCTGTAAATTCATGGGGGAAAAAAAAGGAACAGTCCCTGGAGTCCAAACACAAACTGACTGTGGTGCATGGTTAGCATTTGAAAGGGAAAGAAGGGATGAGGGTTTTTACCTAAGTTTGAGGAACATTTTAAGAAGTTAAAGTGAAGGTGGTTTTTAGACTAAAAAAAACAACAACCAGCATTGCAACACCAGTGCGGTGCAGTCTCCTTCACACGCACACTGTCAGCAAACCAGTTCAGATATACTGTGCATTCATAATGTGGAATAAATTGAATAAATGAATGCCCTGGTTTCAGTTGTAGCAGACACACCACCCCCCCCTCCAAAGCGCAGGTTGGAACTCTTGACAGACTCGCACTCAAGACAATCCTGTCAGGGGGAAAAAAAATATGGTTTAAAAAAAAAAAAAAGAGATAATTCACAAATTTTTTTTTTACGTTTTGGTGTTGCTTTTTGTTTTGTTTTGTAGCTCCTCTTCCACATTTGACTTCAGATGATGTTGATAAGGCCTTACAAAACTCTCCACGGTTAATGCATGCTAGAAACACAGGTAATGCTGGCACTGCTCCCATTGCTATAGGTCATCTTGGAAAAGCCCAGGATTCCTCTTTATGGGTTGCTTGCTAAAAAAATGGAAGTGGTAAATCCAGGAGGGAGACAAGTGGGTCCTCTCCTCGCCGTGTGTGTGAGTTTTATGCACAGACACACGGAGAAAAAGGTGGGATCACACAGGGCCAGATGGAGCAAAAATGGTCTCCTTGCTGGTAATTTCTTGTGTCCTGCAAGAGAGTGGGGTCCCTCACTGATAAACTGCAGGTTTGGGGCCTTTTATCCTTTTATTCTGTCTCATTGCACTGTCAGATCTACTCCACAGATCCCTAGAAACCCGTTGGAGCTCAAAAGTGCTTCAGCACTTGCCTGAGTGCTTTGGGCTCTGGTGAATGGGGATTTCTCCCCTCCCATGCAGCAAATATTGTAGTTAGCTCATCTCATTTTCTAGCCATGTGGGACTTGAGCTGGAAATTCCACTAAATTTGGTGTTGTAATCTCCACTAAGTCTGATCTGGATGTGAAAGGACTTTTGTTGACGTTCACCCTTCTGTTGATTTGGCCCAGAAAACTGTCGAGTGTAGGCAGGAGAACGACACGTGATTCAAAAGCCTCTGTCCTTCAGGATGGGGCTTAGAATATTTATGAGAATAATTCAGAATACATTTCCTCTTTACCTCTAGCAGTTGTGCAACAGAGGATGGCATGGAACTGTACACAACCGTATGTTATACATGCTGCCTAAAGATGTTTGCAATATTGCATGATCATGCCTGAGGGTATTAGTTACCTACAGTGACCAGAAATAACAACTCTTTATGAGAAATGAAAAAGATAATACAAAGGATAATGCAAAAAAAAAAAAAAAAAGAAAAAGAAAACAAGACTTGGATTGCAGTGCTTCTTTCATATTTTATTTAGTTTTTCGCTGTGAGTTTCCCAGTGAAATTCACCGGATTAAAGATCTTTCCCTGAGAGCAGAGGTTTGCCACCAGTCACAGTGGCAAGCACAATTCCTACTGTGGGTTCTGAAAAACCCAACAAAGGCAACAAAAAAAATTTCCCTTTATTTTGACGTGGTTTGGAATAAGCCCAAAGTCCTTTTTTTAAAAATAGATGGTCTTTTCCATCTCTGGCTTTTGAGATTCTAATTTGCCGAGCAGTTTTCCACATATAGAGATATCCAAGTGTTGTTCAGCAGTTTCTGTGTGTTATCTTTTTCTATATATGTGCACTGACAATCACATTTGGACATTCATTTCACCAAAATAAGTTTGTCTGCCTCTCTGTCATTGGGAGCGGGAGTGATACCGTGCTGACCATCAGCACAGGGAAAATCAGTTGCTCAATTTTCAGTGGATCACAGAAGAGTTAGTTAGAAAAAAAAAAAAAAAAAAGATTTCTTGAAGTCAACAGTAATGGCACAAATCCTTCTGACCCTTTTCAAGTTCCTGGAGAGGGTCATGAGGAGCCCGCTGGGGTTGTTGGAGCAATTTCAGGTGCCTGAGATCTGTGAGGGGCTATTTGCTATATCAAGGTCAATATTTTGAATTTTTCCACTCCGTGAAGATAATGAAATTTCTGGGGGTCTGACCCAAAAGTCTGTGCTTGAAAATATGAACCTTGTTTGGGGAATGGCAGAGAAGTTTTATTTCAGAACGTGCGAAGCCCAAGTGGAGAGGTGGTTGTGCTGAAGGGAGAAGGGATTTCCTGAACTTCGCTGTCCTTCCTTAAAACAGATTTTGCAGAGTTTTATCCAGTTATTTGAATGGCTTTATATGGGTGTAAAGACTTTCAGAATGAACTTTTATGTATAACAGTCCTCAGAGAGAAATTAGTTATTCATAGTCTTTGTTCAAGAGACAGGAGGGAAAATATCCGTGGGTTTAGGGGCTGTGGAAATGAATCTTTAGGTGTTATTTCATCTTCTCTCTCTTTAGGAGGTGCCACTTTTATTTTTCCAAATACATCAGTTTATCCAGAGGCAACACAAAGAATTACAACCAGGCCAGGTATGAACAGTGACCACCTTTTGTATGCTGTGATCTTACTCTTTTCACCTCTTGAAGTATCTCATTCTTTTTCTCCTTCAGCTCTCTTTTCATAAATATTGGGCTCTATTTTGAATACTCACACATTTATTATATACCTGTATTTTATATATGTGTGTGAGTGTATATAATTGTGGAGAGTGAGTTGATTAAATAGAGCGGTTTAATAAGTGTTTTTTTCCACATATCTCTGCTTTTAAACAACTTCATTTATTGTCTGAAGCACCAGAGAATGAGAAGACCTGAGCTCTGTTCAATTTTTTCCACTGCACTGTCCCAACATAGTCACTTTTCAATGTGCTTCACTTCTCTATTTGTAAAATGAGGCAGAAATTCCCTCTTTTTTAATCCTGTTTGAAGTATATTGGGGAAAAGCACTCTAAAACTGCAGGCATCATGTTTCACCTGCTGTCTGCTTTGTGTTTGAGGGAAGCAAGATTTGTGTTTGAGGGAAGCACGACATCTGATTGGGAGTTTAAGAGATTTAGATAAGTAAAAGGAAAAAAAATAAGAAAGTCCTTCTTGCTCAAATGTTTAAAGCCCATGAAATTATTGTGGATGTGCTGGTTTGTGAAAAGCTAAAGGGAATAATTAAAAAAAAAGGTGAGGACATGGCTAGGGAGATAAAATTTTGCTTTATGTTACAATTCACCACAAAAAAATTCTGGAAAAATGACTAATCTGGACCTTTCCTTTACTAATAATGAGTGCAAAGTACTTTGAGACATCAGGAGGAGTTGCAGCAAAATATTGAATTTAAAGGAAATCCATTACTGAGTCAGAGACATAAATCCAAGTGTTCTGAGGGGACATGCACTTGAATTGACAAAGCTCTTGTGAAAAGATACGTTTTTGCCTTAAAACCAGGGGGATTTGGATAGCAAATATTTTATCTGTGCTCTAGGATATAATCAGGATGGTGTATACAAGAAGCTATTTTATATACACGTGCATACTTGTACATATGCACGTCTGTGGATTTATTAATTGATAAATAAAAAAAGATAAAGATAGATAAAGAAACCACTGCCAGGCCATTTTGGGATCAAATCCATCCCACTCAGATTGTTGGAGGACAAGCTCTTCTGCTGCATTTATTTGTCTACAGCAGTGGATAAAAAGGTTTTGGGGTGACCTGACTGTGGCCTTTCAGTGCCTGAAGGGAACCTGCAAGAAAGATGGAGAGAGAGATTTCCAAGGGCCTGGAGGGACAGGACAAGGGGGAATGGCTTCAAACTGACAGAGGGTAGGGTTAGATGGGATATTGGGAAGAAATCCTTCCCTGTGAGGGTGGGCAGGCCCTGGCCCAGGTTGCCCAGAGAAGCTGTGGCTGCCCCTGGATCCCTGGGTGTGTCCAAGTCCAGGTTGGACGGGGCTTGGAGCACCCTGGGCTGGTGGAAGGTGTCCCTGCCCATGGCAGGGGGTGGCACTGGATGATCTTTAAGGTCCCTTCCAACCCAATATTTCTGTAATTCTCTAATTTTGCCATTACATAAAAGCAGAGGTTCCTCTAAAGGATCCCTGTGCAGGCACCCAGGAAACTCATTAGAGAGAAATGACTTGGCCCTATGTTAACAGCTGAAAATACAAATTGATAAATAAAGACACAAGTTATTTGCATATCTTACTGGCTTCACATTAAGCCCTCTTCACTCATGAAAGAACAACTCAACATAGTTATCTTTATTTCTGGCACAGTGACAGCCACTGGTCTAGTGAAAAAAAAAAAAAGTGAACAAATGAAGAGACACGGTGGAGGATCACGTGGGAAATCTGACTGTGCCATGAAATAAACCAGCAGCGTGGCCTTGCATGGAAAGCTGGTGAATCATCCCTTATCAAAAAGGCCATTTGCAGAATTAGAAGGGGAAAAACCATGGGAATGTGGAAAAACGTCGGAGCACGTTGAAAGATTGAAATGTTTGAACTCGTTCAAATCAAGGTCTGGGGTTGAGGGAACATGATAGAATTATCTAAAGAAGGAGTTTTCCCTGGGTACCTGCTCAGGCTCAGCATTAGGAGAAAGAATATTCCAAAAAAGCCATTTTCCTGAAACATTAAAGCAGCTGTGGCCTTCATGGACACAGGGTATAGGAGCACCCAGGAGCTTGGAGTGGCACAGGGGAATGCTGACATGAGTATGAATAAGACAAAGTATAGATACAGAAACAATTAACAACTGTGCCATTTAAATGCTGATGCCCAGAACTCTCAGGAGTTCCCAAGGGGCATGAACATGTAAGACCAGAGGGACGCGGGTGTCCTGCTGGAAATAGGCTGGAATAAGGGTATTTTATGGTATTTTCCACTGGACTTGAACAAAAATTGGACTTTTTGTCCCACAAGAGGTTCTATGGTTTCAATATTTGTTTCATTCTGTCTTTGATGGAAAAATAAAATACTATTTTGTTATGAAGGAGAAAGTGGTAAACCACGTATCAGACATGGTGGACTCCTTAATTTCAGCTTTTTTATCTAAGCCCTGTTTAAAATGACACATAAAACGAAAAGCTTTACTCCAACCTTTCTGTTTTTACACCATTACCTGGGGGAATTGCAGTTTCGATACAGGGTGTCTCTGTTCTTCTTTGCAGAGCAGTGTATCCTAACTAAACATTTCCCACAAAAAATACTATCCTGTCATTTTGGCAGCATTATTTTATTTCATCTTTTCCGATTGAAAGAGGGCAGACATCCTCAAAGTCACAACTTTTGCACAGAAGGAAAAAAAGCTCTTTGCAGAAATTCAGTTCTCTTTCAAGAAACCGTTTTGTTGGCTTATCCTGTGGCTTTCCCTTTAGTTAAATGTCACATTTCAACCAGAGTGCAAAGAAGCTTTTCCATAACAAAGCACTGTTCATGTGAGAGCAACAGCAACCCCCGGGGACAATCACTTGATGACATGAAAAAGGTCAAAAATGAGGAGGGGGGGGGGGGAAATAAATAATGCCCAGTGGGAATGAGCCAAATTCTAGGCTGCAGTTCTGGAGAAAGTAATTAGGCATTGTCATTGTTAAGGCACCACAATGGAAAAATGGGAAATGAGCAGGGCTTGCCATGAGCTGCAGTGGGAAAAAAAAAAAAGTGAATTTCTTCAGTCGCCTTTAAAACAGAACACGAAGTTTCAGAAAATAATAAATGCAAGGAGGGCCTGTTGGGAGCTCAGTGAGACCTGGTGTGGGTTTGCCTGCATGCCCCACCGAACAGGAGCATTCCCAGAAAAGATCTTTCCTAGATAAGCACATGTTGTACTGATATCTCACGGACAAGAACAGATCTTCTTATCTAGAGGAGCAACGTGTTTATCAAGGCATGATGCTGAACTAAGAGTGCAGTTGGAATTTTGCACTATTTCCAGAAGGGCTGATATCTGGATTCTTCTTTCCATGGGGAGGGTGTAGTAAAAAAAAAGAAAAAAAAAATCATTTTATGGTGTGTTGAGTTAAAAGGCGAAACATTTTGAAGGTATTTTGCTTGGGAATTTCACATTGTGCTTCGTATTTTCATTCAAAATTTCTGCTCACAGTGCTTGGAAATGGGCAGATACATCTGCCTTGCACAGAGCCAGTCTGTGGCTGTTTCTTTTGCTTCCCAACTGGTTTCATTTCCAAACATAAATCCCAAAATAAAGCAGTGTTAAGAACCAAGACATCCACACCAACGTAGTTCCACCAGGTGGGCTCTGCTACCTTCCTGGGGTCCTGGGCAGGCTACTTAAATCTCAGATTTTGGCAGCAATTTCGGCTGATGTCTTAAAGTCAGCCATGGAAAAGCATAGAAAACTGCAAAGATTTCAAAGGGTAAACCAAACATTTGAATTTAGTACATTTTCCTCATGCAGAAAGCTTTTGTGGTTTAGTTTCTTCTTATTTTTTTTCTTTTTATATATTCTAAAGCATTTAAATAAAATAGAAGTAATGAGCAAATGAAAGAAGGGGAAATCAGGTTAAGGAGCTTGTCACAAGAAGCAGAAAGGGATAAATCAACTAAAGCCCATCTTCTTAAAAGGAAATAGTTAGATGCTGAAATTGGGAGGGAATTTTATGCACAAAATGAGCTCTGACCTCTTGGTGGATTATTCCTGCAAGACTCTAACACAGATTATTCATTATATCAGTGTTTGTCATTCCTTGGTGTCCTGGCCTGAGGAAGAGGAGTACTCTGAAGGGAGTATTCTGAGCCTTTGGAAGTGATGAACTCCATAGATCCTCTAAATGTTATTTGTACCAGCTATTTCAGTGCAGTTTGGACTTCTAAGAAGAACAGGCACCTCTAAAGAGCAATGCAGAGGGCAACGTGGTGCTGTTATTTTTAGAGACATTAAAGATGACACAGGTTTTAACAAGGAACATCCTTCCTGTTTCAGTAATTTTTCAAATCCAGAGCCCCCTAGAAACATGCCCTTTACGAATATAAGCACTTTATGCCATATCTGCATGCATAAGTGTCTTTTTTCCTCCACAGATTTGCCTTACGAGCAAGCCAGGAGATCAGCATGGACGAGTCACACCCACCCCAGTCCTCAGTCAAAAGGTAAAAACACCTGCACATCTGGGGCAACCCGGATTAGAGTCCAAAAGGAACTGGCAGGAGCTGCCTCAGCACTCAGATCTGGAGGGTTTTTACCTGTGCATTGGCTGGAAAGCCCCTTAGCAGTGTGTGGGCAATATTGGGTGGTGTCACTGGGCAGCCACAACCTTCCCTAAGCTCCTGAAGTCCATGAAGTCCATCACCATTTAGTCTTACAAAGCTGAATCTTTTTGTGTCCATCGTGGAGTGGTGAGAGCAGCAGGAGTTCCAGGCCTGTGGCCTCTCACAGGTTTGGTGACCAACTTCCTAACTGGAAAAATAACTACCTGTTTTTGTTTTGTTTTGTTTTGTTTTGTTTCATTTTCAGCTACTCAGCCATCATCCTCAACAGTTCCCAAAACAGAAGACCAGCGTCCTCAGTTAGGTGGGTGTCCTTCTGTTTGAGTTGTGCCTGGGTGTGATGGGGGTTTGCTGAACGTGATGAAAAGGAGAGCTCTCACCTGCATCATCTGGTTCAGGCCACTAATGAGACCCCCAGCTGGTGACCACTAAAACCCCACATGTGTGTGGGTTGGCTCTACAGCTGGATCTGAGATGAAGGTTCCCTTGGCCCCTAAAAGTTGCTTTTAGTGATGCTAAAAGGCAGTGACAACCTTGCAGGGTGAAAATGCTGCTAAAAAAAAAAAAATAAAATCCCTATGTACTGTTTAGGCACAAAGGTGGAAGGTAAGGATGTTGAAAGAGCCCTGTAGTTGAAATGGCAGCAGCTGGAAAATGTGCATGAGCAAAGAAACGAAAATAGATTACAGCAAACCTATTTGAATTTGGCTCCTGGAATACAGCAGGAATATCAGAGGGATTCTCAGTCTATTAGGAAACTGAGGAGAAAGTAGAAGTTTATGAGTTTGTAGACTGGTGGTTTGAAAAATGGGTGCCTTTTGTGTTTTCAAAGCAGCAAATCCCTGGAGTAGGACCTAATCCCTTAGTATGTTTTGCACAGGTAGCTGGAAAGCACTGCAGAGATTTTGAGTCTGTTATGGCTTTTGTTAAAAGTAAAAGGTTAGGAGGAGGAAATAAAAGAGATTTAGAGGATATTCTTAGCTCAGAAGACTCTGAGCCAGTTTTTATCACATGGATTTCAAATCATTATTCTGGTTTTTGTTATAGCTAAATAAGACTGTGCACATGACTACATCTCATTAGCTCGTGCACACAGTGCCTGGGAAGGATTACACTGATTTTTGCCCAAACAGTGTTTTATCTGACCTGGCCTTCCAACCACGAGAGTCATTCTAGAAATATACTGGTGATTTATGTGAGTCCTTAGGACTATTTATTGGCTGTGTGTGAGCTGCACAGATTATTTAAGTGTCTAAGGAATGCAACCTGATTGTCTTCCTGGCTGTAAAACCAGTGGCCATTTGAGAGCAGCTGCCCAGAGCCAGGGCAGCCCAGGGACAGGGGTGGCAGTGAGGGGCTCCAGGCTCTTGTGCTGCTGTCACAGCTTTCCCTTTTTCCTGTCCTACTTCAGGCCAAACTGAGTTTTCATTTCCAGAGGGAATTCCTTTAGGAAAACACTGAGGTGCTGAGGGCATTGTGTGGCCTTCACAGGCTCCTCTGGAAACCCTGGTTGGGTTCCCCTAAATGGGATCTCTCACTGGACTCCAGTGACAAAGAAGAGTCACAGAGCCATTTAAATTGGAAAAGATCTCCAGGGCCATTGAATCCAGCCTGTGACCAAACCCCACCCTGTCCCCCAGCCCAGAGCACTGAGTGCCATGGCCAGTCCTTCCTTGGACACCTCCAGGGATGGGGATTCCAAACCTCCCTGGGCAGCCCCTTCCAATGCCTGACCACCCTTTCAGTGAAGAAATTCTTCCCTGCTGACCCAGCCACATTTCCAGGGTCCAACCACGCCCTCTCAGCCCTCTCCTGGAACCTCTTTTGACACAGAAAGAGCAGCCCCCAAATGTGGCCTCACAAGGAAAGAGGCCGCTGTCCTATTTGCAGGTGGCTCTCACCCCATTGCCCGCTGTTTCTGTGGGCCCTGGCATCCTGAATATACACTTGTGCACACTAAAACACTGCAAAAGGCAGATGTGTGTCCTTGCACACCGAGTTTGAACAGAACACATGCAAATGTTGTGATGCAGAGAGAGGGATTGCTTAGGTGTTGGATCTGCTGCCCCATCAGGCAGCACACGCTGTCCCTTGCGAGGTTAAAAAAATGAACCATTTGACATGAATGTTCCACGATTTTAAATCTTTCTTTCACAATCTTGTAGATCCTTATCAGATACTCGGACCGACCAGCAGCCGACTTGCAAATCCAGGTGAGAAGGGGTTTGGCTGATTTAGGAGGAATTCTCTTCCCTCTGAGTGTCCCCATTTGAGCTTTCAGACCCCACCTGGGAGGTGATTTTGCCCACTCTTCAGTGTGACTCAGTGGGAGCTGATGTTACCCCGTGGGTTGCAGAATCAGGTTTCTAAATTACCCAAGGGTGGGACTGAGGTCACAGATTAGGACATAGAAACTCATGTACCTTAATTTGGGTGTCTGGATATGAGGTGGGTGTCTGATTTCCCATGATATTCACTGGAGATACACTTAATACAGCTCTCTGCAGAGAGCTGCACAGATCATCCTGGAGTAGATGGTTCCACTCAGTCAGCTGAGTACCTCATTAGAGGTATTTGAACTCCTCATATCAACAGGAATCATGGAATCATTAAGGTTGGAAAAGACCTCCAGGACCACCGAGTCCAGCCTTTGAAGCTGGAGTTCACTTCAGTTGCCTAAACATCAGGATTTTATTAAGATACCCCATCTGGCCTCCAGTTACCCTTCCAGAAGGGAACGAGTCTCTTACCAATCTGCATCATATGTGTCCCAGATCCTGTTAACCCACAGCATAGTCCCATACTGGCCTTGACAAATACAAAATTTTGGGATGAGTAACCCAAGCCAGCAGAAGCATATAGGAAAAAGAACAAAACAAAACAAAACAAAACAGAAAACCAGAAAAGCATAATCTATTTGCAAAGAATAGCTGGGTTAAACACTTCCAAAATGTTCTCCCACTTTTAGGAAGGCAAGGAGGTGAATCATGGACAAGGACTTATAGCACAGAATAGAGTCATAGAATCATTAAGGTTGGAAAAGACCTCTAAGATCATGGAGTCCAACCTTTGACCATAATGTTGAAAGACAAGGGACTTTCTGGGTAAATTATTAACTCTGGTTGGGAACTGTGTGGATTTCAGTGGAGCTGCCCCGAGTCCTCAGGACACTCTGTGGCTGTGCAGCACCATAATCAGCATCATAATCTGCCACAAAGGATTGATATTGTGTGTTCCACTTCCTATTTCCCTTCTTGGACAGTCACAGGGCACAGAATTTCTCATTCCACGTTCTCCTCAAGCCCCAGTGACAGCGTTTCTTTTTGCAACAATCGTTAGGCTTTTCGAGGCCTCAAATTGCCAAAACACTGATCCCTTTCCTTTCATTTTATCCCAAGTGACATCGAACCCACTTCTAGATTAGCTGACTTTCTAAACAGCTTTGTGTGGCAGAGAAAAGTAATTAAGTGTTAAGAACAATATTTTCCAAATGGCCTGAGGCGGTGGGTTTCCAGATAACACTTGTCTTAACTGGAAGTGGGGGCCTACATCCCTTTAATTTGTCCATAAATCAGGGCTTTTTAAGCTTTATCAAGTGTCCATTTGGGACACTTCATTACTGTGGATGACACTAGCACGGTCTGGATTGGGATATTTCATTAACATTTGGATGTGGAATTCCTCCACGCGGCTGTTCCCGTGCTTTACCATGTTTTGTGTGTTTATAAATTGGTGGAGTTACTCTCTCATTAAAAGGAAATTGACAGCAACCATTTATTTTCATAGGACTATATATTACATTTGGAAGGCAAGTGTTTATGTTAGAACATATGTTGGATTGCTTATTCAAAAGTTGGTGTTTTGTCCAGTGCTGAGCTGTTTATTGATTTTCAAAGGCTAATCCCCCTGTTATGTTTCGTGCGTTAAATCTTGCATGCCTCGCTCATACCGCGGATTCTTCTGTTTGTTTGTTTGCTTAACGCATGTTAATGGAACAGAAGAAATTCATTAAGGACAGTTGGGATAAATATAATTGAAACGAAGATGGGTTTCAGTTGCACTGAAGTACAAACTGCCAATGGATTTCAGATGCTACTCTAGCTTGATATTGTAACGGCTACTAGGAGCTCTCTAAAGAAAAGCTTGTTTATTGTACCCCTAAAGATGGATTGGGAGGGGATAAAAAAAAAAGAAACTCGACTGATTCCTGGTCAGGGATGTCCTTAGAATTAGCACATCCAGGCTGGTTGGCAAATTCTGCTTACACTGTGCTTGTGAAACAGATTGCCCTGCAAGCTGCTCCGGCTCGATTTTGCATCATTTCAGTGCTGCTTCATTAAGAAACGCTAAGCTTTTAACAATATCAGTGGCAAGGCCCTTTGAAACCTACCTTTAGTTGTCTAAAATAGTCAAATTTCGTCTCTCTGACTCTGATTTTGCGAAGTTTACAGCAGACTTACTAATTTGGTTTTTAGCTTAAAGCGCAACGGCAACGTTTTGAGTCTCAACCTGAAATTCAATTTGAACTCATTTAAATGAAGCAGAATGATGACAAGGATGTATTTTATGGACCTTTTCACTGGTCTTGCAAGTGCTTTGCCCTATGGTTGTGTCTGCAGTGCAACAGCAAGCTAATAAGTTTCCGTTCTGCATTTCCCCAAACGCTGCAAATGGGTGATATGGTTTGGCACCAGCCCAGCCCTCTCTAAACTTCTCCATTTTGTGTGGAGGCTCATTCCATAGCAGGGAACATTTAGTTGCAACATAATGCTGTGAGAACAAGAGAAAATGTTACGCAAGTGAAGGCTGTTTGTCCTGAACTTTAGAGATTAGTTTCCTAAATGAGCGCTGGATTATTTCCCCATCAATTGTCTGCGCTGAGTGACATTAGGTAACAATTAAATCTCCGTGTAATGGCATTCTGCCACTCACATGAGGGAAAACATGACACATAACAATTATCCCTGCTCTTTAGGATTTCACGAGGCAGTCCTGGGAGAAAGGGGGAATGGTTAAGGGTAAGAATTAGGAACCAGCATTGCAACATTTCCTAATGGGGTCCTCTGTGAGAGACAGAAAAATTGATGTCCTGCCGTTGCTCGTCGCCAGCCCTGACATTTCTGCTTTGTTTCTCGGCGCAGGGAGCGGGCAGATCCAGCTGTGGCAGTTCCTGCTGGAGCTCCTCTCGGACAGCTCCAACTCCAACTGCATCACCTGGGAGGGCACCAATGGGGAGTTCAAGATGACGGACCCCGACGAGGTGGCCCGGCGCTGGGGCGAGCGCAAGAGCAAACCCAACATGAACTATGACAAACTCAGCCGCGCCCTCCGCTACTACTACGACAAGAACATCATGACCAAGGTGCACGGCAAGCGCTACGCCTACAAATTCGACTTCCACGGCATCGCCCAGGCCCTCCAGCCTCACCCCCCGGAGTCATCCATGTACAAATACCCGTCAGACCTCCCCTACATGAGCTCCTACCACGCGCACCCCCAGAAGATGAACTTTGTGGCCCCCCACCCCCCTGCTCTGCCCGTGACATCGTCGAGCTTTTTCGCCGCCCCGACCCCCTACTGGAATTCGCCAACTGGAGGGATCTACCCCAACACCAGGCTGCCAGCTGCTCACATGCCTTCTCATCTTGGCACCTACTAC